TTAGTTCCTTTATATCTTTTACTTTCTTGACTTTATATTTTTTAAATAAATTTGCTTGCACCCTGCCTCCTCTGTCTGTGGTTTAATTTTTAGTCACAGGGACACAACCCTGGCTTTCAGGTGACACTTTCACCATGGGTGGATGACCTTCACCTTACCAAAATGGGGTCCGCCAATCTGCAGGATTCCTGGAATTTTAACAGGTACTCCAGAGCTAACAGAAGTTGAGTCTAGTTCATCACTGGGTTTCACAGAACATTGAGAGGACTATGGTTTAGACTATAGTATAGATTGTGTGTACTCACAGTAGTGTATGAAGTCATTGGATAGTTCTAAGGATGTGATACTTGAAATAACACAAGTAAACATGAGAAAACCTCAAGTATGAAAGGATTGTGTCACTAAAGTTAGAGTCACAGAAGAGAAGACTCGCTCTGTCTCTTTTTGATTTTTAATTTGATTTAAATTTGCTTTGTGTTTTGAAACAGGGTCTTATGATGTAGTTCAGGCTGGCTGTCAACTCACTGTGTAGCTCATGCTGGCCTCAAACTCATGGTGATCCTCCCGCCTCAGCCTCTGGATGCTGCAATTACTGACATTCACCACTGTGCCCAGCTCAGGAAGAGACTTTAAATAACCACAAGGCAACCTTAAATATATTACTTCCAGATTATACTTAGATTTCCCTCATGTTTTTCTGAGATTACCGAACTACCGTGCCCAGCTCTACGTTCTCTTTTATTGCCATGCTTCCTCAGTCCATTTCAAGCTGGAAGAGTTAACTCTTTTTCTTTCACTTTCATGATCTTGAAACTTTGGAAGATTATAGCCCAGTTGTTTTGTAAGATATTTCTCCATTTGATTCCTCAAGACAGACTCAGGTTATGTGTTTTTGCCAGGAATATCACAGAGTGTTTCTGTGTTCTCATTGTATCCTAGCAGGTGGCACATGATTTTGATTCGCTTTATGACTGCTCTTGTTAACCTTGAACAGCCAACTAAGGTGGTATCTGTTGTACTTCTCTACATTAAAATTAGTCTTTCTTTGTAATCAAAAGTAATTAATTGGAGAGATATGAGACTGTAAATACTATATTCCGTACCTTATCAGATTTTTCTTTTATTTGTTAGGAAGAACACACAGATGTTGCTTTAGTTATTTTATATATTTATTTTTGTTGGTACTGGGGATTGAACTTGGGCCCTTGCAATTGTGAAGTGGGTGCCAGAACCACTAGGCTAAAGCCCTGGCCCCTCCTTTGTTTATTTTTAATCAAATTGTACTTGATACAGCTAGGGAAGTGTCTCCCCCACACACTGGTGATCGAACTCAGGACCTTGCACTTGTAAGGCAGACAAAGTGCCACTGAGCTAAATCCCTGGCCCCAGTGAAGTCTCTTTAGGGTGGTTTCTCTGTGTCTTTTTTGGACATTTTTCTATCTTTGATTTCCTAACTTTGTTGCATAGCAAGGTATTCTGGGCTTGTCTCATTCTTATCCTGTTCCTACCCTGGTTATAGTCATTTTTCCCAAGCCAAGAAATTGGTTTGTTTTGTTTTAATGGAATGTGGCCTTTATAGACCCTGAACCCTAAAGTAGCCATGCCTGCTTAGTTTCATTTCTCCCAGAGAAACGGAGTGTGTGTGGCGTATATATGATGTTTATATATTATTATGTATTAAGCCTCATGTGGTCATAGTTGGGGCTTTATTATTATGTATTAAACCTCGTGTGGTCATAGGTGGGGCTTTTTGGAGATGGCTAGATCTAGGGTGTGTAAATGTGGATTAAAGGTGTGATGCTGGAATTAAGATGTGTGGTACTGGATTAGTCCACTTGGTTAGTCATAGTTTTGGGTGTGGGTAATGGGAAGCCCCGCCCTGAATGTGGGTGGTACTACCTAAAAGGGTGGAATACAAGGGAAGGGGAGGCTTGCTGCTTCCAGCCTCTTGCCTGCTTTGCTCTGGACTGTTTCTCCTTTGCCATGCCCCTCTACGTGCCAGCCTGCATTGGAGCCTGATGACTATGGACTGAAACTTCTACAAACTGTGAGCTAATATAAACCTTTCCTGCTTTAACTTGTGGGTGTTGGGTATTTTGCCTCAGCAGTGAGGAAGTAACCAAGACTGTGGTTGTGCATACATACATAAACTACATTTACATCTACCAATATGATCTATTTCTTTATTGAAAACCTGTACTTTACACTCAGGTATTTCTAATTCCAGTCCACTGCCACAGTGCCCTATTTTTTTCCCCTTTTTCTTTGTAGCCCTATTCTCTTTCAATGAGAATCCTGGCCCTCATTAACCTCATGATTTTTACTTCCCTCTTCAGTCTCCCTCTAGGTAACTTGTCTTACACTGGAATCCTTTGTTGCTTCCTCTCTCCCCACTCATTATTGATACTAATTCACCTTCTTTGACCCTGGATTATTTATTTATTTATTTAGTTTGTTTGTTTCTTTGTTTGTTTGAGACAGGGTCTCACTGACCTGGAACTCATTATGTAGCCCAGGCTGGTCTTGAACTCACAGTGATCCTCCTGCCTCAGCCTCCTGAGTGCTGGGATGACAGGCGTGTGCCATTATGCCCGGCTGGACCCTGTTTTAAACTGAATGTTTGTATCTGCAAGAAATTCCTAAGTTAAATCCCTAAGCCAGTGGTGGTGAACCTTTTAGGGCTTTCTTTCAGTGATACAAATAGCCCACTGCATGTGCCACAGGTTCACCACCATTGCCTTAAACCCTCAGGGTAATGCTGTTAGGAGGTGGAGCCTTTGGTAGGTAATTAGGTTTAGATAGGTCATGAGGATGAAGCCTCATGATGAGATTGGTGTTCTTATAAGAGAGAGAGAATCTGAGATGAAATATGCTTCTTTGCAGTATCTTATTTAGGCCATCTAGCAATGGTGCAGTTGCTCTCCAAATGCTTGAGTTCAGCATCTGCTGGTCAAAATGTTCAGAAAAAATTGCATCTATACTAAATATACACAGGTTTTTTTCCTTGTCATTATCCCCTAAAGAATAACAGCCATTTACATAGCATTTACTTTGTGTTAGGCACAGGAAGAGATGATATAAAGCTGTGTGTAAGTCACATACCATGGCACTTAAGTAACACAAGTTGGAGAGCTTGTTGTCTGCACTTAGAAGGAGACCCAGAGGAGACACAGGGGAATTGTCATGTAGTTTCATGGTACAGCAGCAGATATTTAGCATGGTAGAAGTCCTGGGTTCAATTTCCAGCACCCCAAAAAATAAATAAATCAAAAAACAAAAGAGGAGGACATGGAACTTTGCACTTCTGTTATAACGCTAAGCACATTGCCTCTTCATATGGTCATTTCTGCCTGTGCCATGGTCACTTTCTATGTTACTGAACAGTCATCTCCGTACATGCCTCTGAGCCTGTTGAACAGGGGAAGCATCTTTTTGTTTCCTACACTGAGTACTGTAATCTGTGTGTATAATGAATGGAATTAGTATGTCCTTTCACACGTAATATTTATGTCACTATGTTTTTGTTTTTTCTTAAACATGAGATGAAAGTTTTTCTCTTTTATCTTTTTTTTTACCTTTTTTTTTCTTTTTATTGAGTTTATTGGTACTTCTAGGTATACAGTACAGTTACATTCATTACTGGGATCTTGTACCTCTACATGACAGGTCTTGGTTCTCATTTTTTCCCCTTGTCCCTGCCCTCCCTTCACCCCCTCCTCCCCTCCCCATTTATAAATACTTTGTTTCCATTTTTTCATTTTCTCATATTTTTTCTTTCCCTTATTACCTTTCCCCTACCCTTCCCATTTTCCCTACACCTTTAGCCCTTTTCTTCTTATTTCACATGGTCAATTATCTCATTAGGATCTTATGTTCTATTATAGCTTTTCACACCAGAGAAACTATTCTGTATTTATACATGTATGACTTATGTATTTCACTTAGGAGTATATCCTCAATATGTATTCATTTTCCTATGAATAAATCTAATTTCTCATTCTTTAAGGCTGAGTAGTATTCCATTTTATAGAAAAACCACATCTTTATTCAGTTTCCAACTGATGGGCAAATGGGCTGTTTCCAAGTTTTAGCTATTACAAACTGTACTGCTATAAACATTGGTGTGCATATATCACTGTGGTATGATTCCTTTAATTCTTTTGGAAAGATACCCAGCAGAGGGATGGCTGGGTCAAATGGAACCTCTAGTCCCAGCTCTTTGAGGTATCTCCATATTGATTTCCATAGTGGTTGTACCAGTCTGCACTCCCACCAACAATGGAGAAGGGTTCCTTTCTCCCCACAACCCCACCAACATTTATTATTGTGTGATTTCTTGATAGCAGCTATTCTTTGTGGGGTGAGGTGGAATCTAAGTGTTGTTTTCATCTGTACCTCTCGAGTGACCAGTGATGTGGAACATTTTTCATATATTTACTTGCTGCTTTTACTTCTTTGTCTGAGAAATGTCTGTTCATTTCAGATGCCCATTTTTGAATTGGGTCTTTATATTTGGGGGGGCTAGTTGTTTTGAGTTCTTTATATATTCTTGATAATAGTCCTTTGTCTGAGGAGCAGCTGGTAAATTTTTTTTCCCACATTGTAGGTTGTCTCTTAATTCTGTTGATGGTTTCTTTTGCAGTGCAGAAGCTTCTCCTGTATCTTTTATTTCACTTAATCAAAGTTTCCTTACCAGAATCCTGTATATCAGTTAACAATACTTGACTGATTTACTCTGATATTTTCACTGATCTCAGGCACAAGAATAAAAACGTGTTGTAGGACTTTTATGTTATGACTGTGAAAGGTACTCTCTGACCTGATCTAAATCTATTGTAGATTGGTTTCTTTTAGGACCTTTTTGTTATTCTGGAGTGATGGTTTCACAATTCTGTGGGAGAGGCACAGAAAGATCCTTGGCCACTTTTTTCTTTTTTCATCATGTGGTTTTCATCAAAGAGAGCTAATATGTTTGAGTTTTATTTTTAATTATCAGAGAGCCGAAAGGAGGAGGAATGCCCATGGACGTTACAGTAACTCCGTCCTCCATCCGGTTGATAACCCCTGAGGGCTGCACGGAGGTCTGGCTGCCAGCAGAGGTCAGGCTTGCACCTTCTTCTTGCCGTGGGCTGCAGTATATCGCTGGGGATGGACTACACCTGCGGCTGCAGGCACAAGCAGAGTTCAGCACAAGTGAGTAAGACCAGACCTTCTGTTCTGCATTTCCTTTTTTTTATAAATCAAAGATAATTTTTTCTTTAAATATAGCTTTTCCCAGGTGTAGCCTGGAAGAGCTGGAAGGTTGACAGTAGCCAGGGTCTTTGTTTTAGCTCTGCCAGTTACCAGCTGTGTGTGGCCAAGCTTCATTTCTTTTTGGTGTTTTTTTGTTTGTTTGTTTTTTTATAGACTTTATTTTTAGAACACTTTTAGGTTCACTGTGAGCAGAGACTTCCCTTGTACCCCATCTTTTGTTTCTTTAATTATAAAATTTCTTGGCTCATGGTCATGATATCAAGATTTGATGGCAATTGGTCCTGGTTGATTTTAAAGCATAGAAGTTCATTCTTTAGCAAACAGTTTCACTCATGTTATGTGTGAGGCATTGATCTTGGTGCTTGAGATACAAGCTACAGAAGGTCTCTGCTCTCAAGAAGCCGACCTACTGCATAGGGCTAGATACTGAACAAATAATTTTAATTACAGACTGAGAAACACTATGGGTAAAGTAGAGCAAAATAATGGGATATGTGATGACTTAAGGTTGTGTGAAGGAGAGGAAAACAGGGAAGGCCTTTCTGAGGAGGCAGTGTTTAACCAAATGAAGCAAATTGTCCGTGGAGACACTGTTCAGAATAGGGCATCAATGCATGTCAAGGTCCTGTTGTTAAGTGTGATAGACCATAATTTGATTTTGATTGTCACTGTGATTGTTACAATCACAGTATTTTATAATTGTAAATAAATTGAAATTGTATATGGATTAAGGAAGGAAGGAAATTTTATAAGATCTTATGATTATTTATTGAATATACTTATTGATTTATTGCATCCTTACAGTGTAATATGCTTTGGAGAATTAAAATGTGAAGAGGGGAGACAGACTGTAAAAGCTTGATGTGATGCCTATTTGAGAAACACTACGAAGCTTCATTGCTGCTTCTCTCATGTCTGAAGCTCGTGCAACCTGGAGTGGGAAAACAGGATTTCCTTAGGAACCATTTAGGAGATGTTGAGCAGTTCCCTGACTTTTGAAAGAAAGAGAAGATAGATAGCATTTTACTTCTATTTTTTGCCTAAAATTAGTGTTTGCTAAAGTTCTGAATTATTGAATAACTAGCTTAAGTTCCACAGATTTGGCTTTAGGAACAAAAATCAGGGACAAGAAATGTTATAGAGCTTAAGTGGCATAAGATAAACACCAACAAAGACAATTGGAATTATCACAGAAGGAAGAATAAGGTCACTAAGATGGGGGAAAAAAAGGACAACAAATTCCTGAGTATACTTAACAGTGGGCTGAGGAAATTTTGTTTTGGGGAAGAGGCTGTGAGAGTTTGGATCTTTGATGTTATGCCTTCTCCTTCAGCAACAGGAATTTTGTGTTGAGTCTAGAAACTGGGGAGAGGTGGGCGTGAAAACCACAGTGATTTCTAGGATTGTGATTTTTTTTTAGATCCAGGGCCTTAATATTTGGTTGTTGCCACTCATATTGTGTAACTGTGAAGATATAAAGAGCAAAACTATAATTATTTAAAAATTTTTAAATCAACAAATACCGTTTTAAGATAAAATAAATTAACTGCCATGTGCTAGCTAGTTAGACTATTGTTTGTATTCATTGGTCTCCTATTTCTTTACAGTTTTGAAACATTTTGCTTAAAAATCCAAAAAAAGAAAACTTTCAAAGGCTTGTTCCATGGTGCATGAAAGTATATGCAAAGTAGACTCCTCAACACTTAATTGCTTTACTGCTCTCCACATAATATGCAGAGGATAAATATTTGCTGAATGAATAAATATCAGGTAGTTGAATACTGATGTGGACTTGAGTGAAACTCTATGGTAGGAAGTGATTTTTGAAACTTGCCATTCTTTGGTGTTTCAGGTGTTTTGTTTGTTTGTTTGTTTGTTTTTTTAATTGACTTTTCAACTTCTAAGAACATCCATTTAAGGTCAGCCATACTAGGTGTGGTACTGTACACTATTCTGAGTATAAGGTAAGTCACATCATGACCCCTGAAACAGAACTGGTTACAGTAACTCTAACATAGCATTGGATTTATTCCCAGCACATTACTTTTCCAGGATTCCTTCGTATTAGAAAGTTCTGACTTTTAAAACTGACTCAGTGGCCAGCAGAGGGTAGTGTTTCCCTGAAAATTGTGTTTACTCTAAAAAGAACATTTTGGGTGTCTCACCTGGGTGTCATTTTTAATCTGCTCAAAGTTAAATAGAAATCCTCTATTTTGCCTTGGTGCTATGGGAATTTATGAGCACCATTACGAATTAAACTGCAGAATTTTTAATCACAAAGGCTTAGGCTTTCTAGCATCAATTTTTTGATTCTTAAAATACATACCAGGTAACATCAACCAAATTCAAATTGCTTGCTCTTAATAAAAGGCTATGACCTCATTTTTTTCAAGTAGATTTTTTATAGACAATATTTTAGAGTTTTCATGTAAGTGAAAGTTTCCTTTTTTTCCCCACAAATGAAATTAACAGACACTCAGGGAAGCATGCTTCCTTGTGCTGCTGTTTCACATAGTATGGGAAATAATGCATTTCTCCCACAACTTTTAACATTTTCTAACAGCTTTCATCGGAAATTGAATTTTCCTTTCAGAAGCTCAGACTCTTCTTAGGAGCTATTCTGTTCCCAGGCACCTGGAGATTTATTTTGTTTGTCTGTGTTGGCAGTGTGCCAAGGTGGACATAAACCTTGTTAAAACCAGATTAAATTCACATTTTCGGAGCTCTCTTTCCCAGCAGTCATCTGCTGATGAACCTCACAGTGAGACAGAGCAGAGGAAAGCCATGGCTGGCATGAAGTCAGTGGTCTTCTTCACTCACCCTTTACGCCTAAGCCTCATTCATAGAACGAGAGAAGTAATCTTCTCATGTTACATGGGTAACCAGGGCGCTGCTCAGCTCTGAAACATTTAGTGAAATCTGTCTCTGAAAACACCACAATGTTTGCTTCTGGTTGAGTCATCTCATAATACTAATTAATGTGTACTTCTTGGTAGGTCATAAACAGTGTACTGATGGTAATTTGTTGTGGCTTGTAAACCTTTTTGGTGCATTGCTATGTTTGTTCCAAACACCTAAGATTTGCTGTTTCATTGATTTTCCTTTAGAACTGATTTCAGTGTTTAATCAAAGCTCTCAAGCCCAAGAATGTTGCACATTTTATTGCCAGTCCTGTGGTGAAGTCATAATAAGGGACAGGTAAGGATACATTTAGAAATTAAGTCTTGTGCCTAGCAGTGGCATTTTTCTTTATCAGAATTTTTGAAGTAATTACAAATGGAGCAGTATAGATGTCCCTAAAATGAGTATATGGCCTTTATGTCTGTTTGAATAAAATTAACCGCAAACCTCACCGGTGACGAGAATGGAGCTGTTCCCAAGGTGATGAGGGCAGCTGTGGGAGGGCAGTTGTGGAAAGAAGACTGGGCTAGTTGGAAGAGCCAGGGCCCTTCACTGAAGCACCTCTCTTCCCAAAGAGAGACACAGGGTCTGTCTCTCATGTGTTTTGTCCCTTGTGGTAATGACAGAGTTTCCACGTAAGTGAGTTTTCTGCCTCATAGAAGCTTGTGCAGCAGCATTTTTGATCTGAGCTGTTTCTGTCAGGAAAATTCATTTCCTATTTTCTCTTCTTGTTAAAACACAGCATACAGAGCACAAATTAACCTTTTCTCAGTGATTAGGTTAATCTTGTAACCCATTTTGTGTTGTGCTGTGATTACCCTATTGAGGAAAGGACTCTTTGCTATTTTCTTTGCATTCCTAAATTGGTTTTTTTTTGGTCTTCTGTCATCCTCCTGTCAGCTCCTTGTTTCTTTGGTACAAACCCCTCTCCCTGAATATTCAGCTTCAAATCACTCATAGGCTAGAAAGACAAATAAAACCTTATGACTATTAACAGTATTTAAAGAAACAATTTAGAATTCTGCATGCATGGATTTCCTGAGAGAAGTGTCTATAAATAAGTATTCATATATGAAACCTGCTTTTCCAGGGTCTTTGTCTCAATGACACCATCTCTCTACCCGTATCCTCAAGGTAGAAACCTGGTGCTGTTGCCTTGGGTTCCTCCCTGTCTCCCCAGAAATAGTCGCCAAGTTTTTGGCTAATTCCTTTGGATCACAGATTTACTTTCTTCCATCCACCGGTGTCACTGCCTTAGTCAAGACTACTTTCTTTTCACCTAATTGCAGTTGTTGCCACTTTTGCCTCTGCTTAGCCTTCTTTTAATTTTGCCCTCCTTTGATCCATTTCTACACTAATGAGCAGCTGTTATAAAATGCCCTTTTGTTCAAACTGTCCTGTGATCCCCCATTTCAGAATGCATTCCTTTTTTATTTTTCATTTTTTAACTTGTATCAGTACATGTTTGCTGTTCATAATAACATTCATCATGGGTAGTTGTTACATGTGCATAACACATCTTAATTCTTTTTTTCAGATCCCTTTCCCCTGCCTTTTATCCCTATTCCCTTCATCTCTTGGTGCCCTTCTGTTTTACAAAAGGACCATTTCTGTTTCCTATTATCTATCTTTTATTTTGTTCTTTAATGTATTTATATTTTGGGTTTATCATATAAGAGAAACAATGCAGTATTTAAGTTTGTGTGTCAGTTAATCAGGATGCAGCCTTTAAATTCTTAGTGTGCTTTGTACATTCCTTTGTTGAGTTTATCTCTCCATCCCCACTTTCTGACCCTCTCCCACACACCCTGTGCATCCCCCCACACAGTTACTGCTCATATTCTGTGTGCAGCTCTGGTAATTAGCGTGCAGTCTTATGATCTTTTCAGTGGTTTTCTTCACCCTGGGACCTTATGAAAGCTGCTCATTCTGAATGCACCCTCCCCCCCAGCCCCCTTCACGGGTCCCCTGTTCAACTCCTACCTGTGCACCGACAATGCATGCTACCAGGAGCCTTCCTTGAAAGCTGGGTTGTTGTGGTAGGTGCTCTGCTGAGTTTTATTTGCCTGTCTTCATAATTAAACTGTAAGCTCTGCAGGCAAGGATAGTCTTATTAACCTCTGTATCTTTTATTCCTGCTTTATTGCAAACAGACTCAGAAACCATTCTGAATTTTCATCTACAATTTACTTAGCTGTGTGATTGTGGGTAGATTATTTAATCACTCTGTGCCTTGATTTCCTTATTGAGGTAATGTGGATGACAATATGACTTACCTTCTAGGGTTGCTGGGAGGATCGAATGATTTTAAGTGTTAATAATAGCAGTGCCTGGTACACGGCAACTATTCAATATATGTTAGCTATTGTGATAATTATTATTTTTATTGTCATCATCCTCAGCATCATGCACAGTGCCTGATGAATAATGTACTGCCAATATATTTTTGCTGGGTTGAGTGGAATAAACTCTAGTGTATTTATTTTGGGCTTCCACCAATCTTTCTTGTTTGCTTTCTGGTTCTTGGTAGTATTCCATGTGAAAGAGGTGGCCCAAATTACCATCTCATAACCCTCGAGAGATTACAAAGGCAGCATCATCAGAATGGTTACCTTGAGTAAGGAATGATGTTACTTTAAATCAACAGAGGAGAGAGGAACAAAGTTCAGAATTACCTGCTACTTAAAAGTTGCCACAGAATATGCACTTGGGGACAGGCCCACTTTATCCAGAAAGATCCAAGGGATCCCAGTTTTATTGCCATTTAAACAAGAACCTAATCCTATCAGCCTATATCAGGTTTTGGTTTAATTCTCAGATAAAGTTTCTGAAATGTTGATTCCTATACAACAATAAGGTGACCTGGAAATTGACAGTTGGAGCAGGTTAAATTCAGTGCACCAGTAAGTAGTTCCTGCTACCCATTTTACTAAGGGATATCAATTGGTATTTGTGTTTCAGTGGAAAAGGATGAGGATATGAAAAATGCTGGGGTTTCCTGTTCTGTTTTTGTCAGTCCTTTCTACCACCATGGAGGTGAGCTGTAGAAGGGCATGGAAGCTGACATTGGAGAACAGCTTCGTTCATTTTCCATAACCGTGAGCATCAGGAGGCCCTGGAGTATGGAGGGAGGCAAGAGTGCAAAGAAGGGACCTGTGTTTAAACTTTAGCTTTACCATGTAGTAGCTGGGGATCATGTTTGTATCACCTCAGCTTCTTCTCATAGGCCTGTTTTCCAAACTTGTTAAAAGAGTGAAGGAATATAACATATACGAGTAAATGCCCAACAAACTCTTCCAAGTACTTTTACGGACTACTGCTCCCCTTTCCAAAGTGTTCTTTTTAGAAAAGTAGCAAATAATTCAGTGCAGTATTCAGAATTTCTGATTCATATAATATATATATATATATTATATCAGAGAAATGAATCACCTCTCTCTGAGATCATAATCGGTGTACTTGGCCTTACCTGCAAGCCTTCTCAGCATACCTCTGTATCTGGATTAGGTATGCTGTTGAACAAATGGACAAATCCATGACTGAAGGCCTTTTTCACATCTCACTCTTGGGTAGTGCACCCCTGACTTCAAATAGTGGAAAGATGTGCTTCCTCCAGGGTCAGCACAGCAATCACGTGCTGGTCTCTGTGGTGTTCCCACTTCTCCCTTCATTCCCTATTGCTAATATGTGGGAGTGGGAAGGAGAACTTTGGTGCTCTCTAAGTAGAAGACAAAGCCAAAGGTGTTCCAGAAGAGCTTGTCTGGGTGTGATCATCAAAATCAACTAATTGTAAGCATCTTTCCCAGGACGAGGCTTATATCTTTGGGCTCTGTAGACTGGTCCACTCTGGGAGTCATGGAGCAGAGTTAAAATCTACTTACTGGCTAGCTTTCTTATCTGGAAATAAATTATTTCAATTTTGTGGGCTTCAGTTTCGTTATCTGTAAAACCAAAACATTGGATTAGATAAACCTATTAGTCTTACCATGAAACTTTTTCCATCAGTGAGCCTCATGAAGTTGTAGTTTGACTTTCTGTGTTGGTTCCTGACTATTTGGCTAGTGCAAGACTAAAACTTGTTACTTTTTTGTTTTATTTTGTTTTTTTGGTGGAAAAGGTTCTTGTCAAGCAAACTATAGAAAGAAGATACAGAAAATCAGTATGACTCATTAATGCCATTTAGTACTTACCATCATCACACGAAATCTGCTAATTTTAGCAGCCCTTTTTCTTTACTTAGGGTCACATATTCTTAGTCAGTTTGTTTTGGTTTTCTGAAAGTAAGTAATACCTTGTTTCTTTATGAAACAGTTTTCCAATTTAAGGTTTATCAGATCAACAAAATTTTTTATTTTTATGATACATATGATATTAATAAAGAAAATATAAAAAGCACTCTTCTATGAAAATAGAAAAAAATTTATAACAATTATTAGAGAATAAAAATAGTTAATATACTGTGTATCATGATCTTAAAAGAATGGTCCAAATGTTACTCAGAGTACAAGTCATAGCCAAAAGTCTTACAAAGTAGAAAAAAACAAAAGGACAAAACTTTCTTTACAATGAACAAAAAGAAACTTGTATAAATGAAACAAATTAGCATATATCCTAAAATATTTTTGAAACAACTAATATGTTCTCAAGTAGTATCTATGTCTCAAATTTATCTTTTTTTATGGCAGAGTAGTGCAACATTGTGTATAAATACCACATTCTCTTTACCCATTCATCTGTTGGTTGAATGTATACACTGTTTTCAAAATCTAGCTATTATAAATTGTGCTGTTCTAAACATGTGTATGCATGTATGTTTGAATATCACATAAAACAGCAATGAATGGCATTTATTAAAGTTATGCATTACAAGTTATTATTTCCCGAAAGGTATACTCTTGGTACATTAAACATAGCTAACAAATTTTAATTTATTATAAACATGTAATGTTCATCATAAAACCTTAAGCTCAGAGAACACTTAAGAAGTCATTTCATTCTTTCTGAGCTTCAGCAGATTTTCACCCAAATTACCTTGGAAAAAAATTGTATCTATTTTGTTTTGAAAGTTCTCTTGGGAAGTAGATCATATCAAATTACTCTTTTCAGGGTTTTAGATAGATATAGTAGAACTGTGATTAAAATACGTCTTTTGTTCTTAAAGGTTTTTATATTTTTTCAAAACATCTGAAAAATTTCTTTCTGCTATAAAAACCCTTTTATCTTTCTAGTGATTTGCAAATTAGGCACTTTCTTTCTCCTGATGTCTTACATAGCTGGTTAAAAAATATTACAGCTTTCATTCACTGTTATATGGGGCCAAGTTCAGTTTGAAATACCATATTTTGTATTAATTTACATCATCTCTTTAATTGCACTTTCATTTCTTTAATCATGTATGGGATTGACATTGCTGTCTTTTGCACTGTATTTAGGAGCCTGTTTATTATTAGCCCTATGTGCAGAATGTCAGGAGACAGAGAACCTTAATGATAGAGATGATCCTCAAGTTCATTTAGACCTAATTCTTACTCTATTTCTTAGTAAATGTTCTGAGAACTGTAAAGTATGATCCTGTCTCAAATAAAACAAAATAAACAAACAAACAAAAATCTAATCTGATCAGTCACTTCCTCAGATGCTGCTCATTCCTGTAAAGGACCAAGTTTTATCCCATGGCATGGCGTGTAACACCTTATACAGTTTGCCACCATCCCATTTGTCCAGTCTCCTCTACTGGGTTACTAGGGGAGGGAATATATTCCCAAGAAAATAATTTAGTTTTGGAGTCAAAAAGATCTGGGTTAAGATCCTGACATCACTTCACACCTCTGATTCTATGAATCTGAGCAGATTATTTAACGTTTCTGAGCCTCACTTTTCTCCTCTGTCAAACGGAGAATGTTAATTCTTATCTCACAAACCATTAAAATTTGGTGGATGGGTAACCCCTAAGGGTCTTCTAAAGTTCATCTACACACACAGACTTAAAAGACTACCACAGGCCTCAGCTTGCCAGCTGGGCAGCATGAAGAATTCCTCTTAGCAGGGACTGCAGCATTTCCTGAAAGTGACTGTTTATGTACTCACCTGGGGACTTGTCTCTCCCTATGTGACATGATTCTAGTTTAAAAAAACAAAATCTGTGTCAGGAAGGTGTAGTGGCTTTTCTGGCTTAGAAGAAGCCTCAGTCTCTAAGCGTTGTCTCTGGTAATAATTCCTTGAGGATAGTTTCTTAGTTCCTCTCAAGAGACTACATTCAGGGAAGCATAAAGCATGGGATTCTTATCAGACGTTTATAGCCCTTCCATAATTCTTCCCAGTCCAGATGCTGTTTACCAATTAGGGATCATTTTTACTGTAAGCAGTGTTGCCTAGCAATATATTTGATACCTATGAGCTTACCTGGTTTCCAGGGTAACAGAACTAGGTAGTTAAACTAAAGGTCAAAGTCTTAAGCAGCAAGGGAAAGATTTGTTAACCCTTTGATCCCAGTATGCAATAAACCCAGCCAGGGACCTCACATATTATAGTTATCCAAATATGCTAGTTCATTCCTTCAACAAATATTTTTTTAATTGAGTTTATTGGTACACTCTAGGTTTGCAGTACAATTACATTCATTATTGGGATCTTGTACCTTTACATGACAGATCTTGATTCTCATTTTTTCCCCTTGTCCCTGCGCTCCCTTCACCCCCTCCTCCCCTCCCCATTTATAAACACTTTATTTCCATTTTTTTCAATTTCTCATATTTTTTTCCTCTTCCTTATTACCTTTCCCCCACCCTTCCCACTTTCCCTATGCCTTTAGCCCTCCTTCAACAAATATTTAAGGAGCTGTGTTAGACAGTAAGCACAATAGTAGTTAGGTAAGCATATGCAGTGCCTGTCTTTACATTGTTTCTTCCATGATACCCTAAATTCCTTTCATTGCCTGGGAAACTATCCTTTCACAGGCCAGTTCAGATGTTACTTCTTCTCTGAAGTTCATACATAATCCACGTCCCTAATACTTTGTATGTATTGTTCTGAATCCCCTAAAGTAAAATGCAGTTTTTTTTTTTTTTTGTGCATGTGGGAATGTATGTTTGAGGAAAGGGGGTAATACTCTCATCAAATTTTTAAAGGAGCCTGTAAAGCATCCTGCCCCGCAAGACTTTAGAAACTCACTCCTTACATGTGATTTTGTTATTGTGTATAACTCTATATTTCCTATTAGAATGTGAATATGTTGAGAGAAGGGACTGTATGTATTCATATTTTGGGCCAACAGAATGTCTGATTAATAATAGACTGGAAGAAATGTACACTGAAACTATTACTTATTAATATCCTCACAGGCTCGGCAGTGTGAATGATCCCAATGATACAGCATTTCCTAATTTGAGAGGGCAAGTTTTTTATGTTCCTGTAGTTCTCCCTAAAAATCAGTCTTTCTCCTTCCTAGTTCTGTCCTTTGGAGTTATAAATTACATGTCTACCCTCTTCCAAGCTGTAATTGTTCTTTTGTGATGCAGTTGATCAAGGAACCAAAGAGAAATGGTTAACATGGGTAAATATTTTTTAAAAGATGCAAAAATGAATTTAATCTGTAATCACAGCGTAAATATTTTAATTTAAAACTTAGAATAGTATTAATCTTAATTTGCTAGTATTTATAGGTGGAGATACCTCTTTAACCAGGTGATCAAGATTAACATCACTGATGATAAGTCATTTTGGTACAATGTACCAAAGAGGAGGGAACTCAGGGAGAGGACTGCAGACACAACAATGACCAAAAGCTGATGGCTAATGGCAAAGTTTATTTCTTACTTAGGGATTTTAAAGCAGTTTCAAGGTGACACACAAAGGCAAGGTCACAGTAGTTTGACAGTAGTCACAAGGAGGCATGAGTAAGATAAAGGGCAATCACAAGAAGCTAAGAACAGATACACCCTGTTTAAACTAAAGACAGAACATCTACATAAAACAACATCTGTTTATGAATAAAAGAGAGTGTAAACCAATAAAAGGGAATGTAAACCAGGAATAAGAACAAAGAAGGAATTGGGGAGTGGTTCTGTGGTGGGGACTTGGCTCCAGCACGTCACCTTCGGGATACCTGTGTCCTGGTGAGAACCAGCATTCCGGGACCTGGGGTCAGTTCTTCAGCTGTCTGTCCTCTCGTGCCCCCAACAGTACAGTATGCATTGCCATTTGGTGTATGTAATGAGAAGGGTACCTCACATATGTAGAATTTGTTTTTCTGAAGCTGGAAGTGTAGTCTTATCTTGAGACAATACTAGATAAATTTAGATTTTAAGATATTTTGTAGGTTGCCGGGCTGTTACTCTTCATATATCTCAAGGTCCTGAAAAATAAAGACTGAGCAACTGTCACAGAGCAGGGGAGACATGTGAGGAATAAATACAGTATGTTATCATAAATTGAACAGAAAGAAAAGGATCTTGTAGAAAAACTGGTGAAATCCAGATAGCCTAGTTTTGACAGATCTACTCTGGCTATAGAAGATACTGTATTAACTTTAGAGAACACTAGATGAAGTGTATACAGCAGCTGCCTGTCCTGTCTTTATAAGTTTTCTATAAATCTAAAATTATCTAAAATTGTATGTTTATTAGAGGGCCGGGGATTTAGCTCAGTGGTTCTGCCTGCCCCACAAGCACAAGGGCCTGAGTTCAATCCCTGGTACCAAAAAAAAAAAAAATAATAATAAGCTTATTAGAATAGAATAATAAAAGAATTAAAGAAGAAAGTGTTACGTTATTTTAAATTTGACACAAACCAAATTAAAAAGCAGTAACAAAAAAATACAAGGGGATAATAAAAGAATATAAATCACACATTTTTGCAAATTCATAAAAACATAATAATCTCAGAATTGTAAAACAAATTAAGTTCATAAACCAGTATTTTCTTATCCTTGGATAGTGAGAAAAGAATTATTTTTATACAAACTCATTACCTTTTCAAAATTGTGTATCATGAGTATATATTACTTTTATAACTGGGGAAAACTGACATTGCAAGCATGTGCCTAATAAGCACCTATTGTCTTTCATGCTGATTTAATTAAGAAAATGTTAGTTCCACTTAGTACTGTGAAAAATAGGTTTTCCTTTTTTCTGCTAGGAAGCTCCTCAGAGTGCTCCCACTGCCCAGTGAGAACTGGGGAGCTCTAGTTGAAGAGTGGTGCTGTCATCCCAACCCCTTTGCTAATAAGCCACTTCATCCGCAAGAGAACGACTGTTTTATCGGAGACTCCTTCTTTTTGGTGAATTTAAGAAGCAACTTGTGGCAGGTAAGACCTGTGTTAGTCGCATTAGAGATATGCTTTTTCTGGAATCATTTTAAATTGTCAAAATATCTTCAAAATAAATAAAGAGGCAGGCTTAGATACTCATTTCCTCATTTTTTCCTTAATTTAGAATCATCGAAGAGACTGTTCTCAAGGTCCAAATCCATTATTTAATCTATTCTCTAGCTCTGTTCTGTGGATACAGAAAGAACTTTCAATTAAAAGAGCCACCAGGAACTGGAGGACTATAAATGAAACATCTTCATGAATGGATTTGGGAGTGCTTTCATTTTACAAACAAACCCAGCTTTTTGTGGGGGAAAAGATGGACAATGTATCATAATCTGTTTACATTTTAAGTTTAATAGTTGATTTAAATTTTAAAAACATTCTACTACTCCATGATATCTACTGTCCAATTAGGCGCAAGTATTCTACTCTGTCTGCCCATAGTCTAGACTAGTGCTGATGTTATAAAAGCAGGCCAGCAAGAGAAAAGGAAAGTGGGAGAGCTCAGGAATGGAAATAAAGCTTGTGCTGCAAGGTCTAAATTGGTACTTGACAATACGAGGTCAGGTGGCTCATGCTATATGTGTTTCTTTGGTGAGAAGGCAATTTCCTCTCACTGCAGAAAACAAGTAGTTTATTTTTTAAAATATTAATGGCACTGGTTTGGTGCTTGTGAGGAGTCATCCTGCTGATAGCTGGTCAATACAGATGTGATTTAAAAAGTAAGGAAAACCATTATCAGAAAATCTTTATTTTAACATCCGATTATTGTAAAGAACAAAGCCATTATACTTTAAATTTCATTTAGAACTCATTTAATTTTTGTAGTAAGAACTAAAGTATTGTAGAAAATATGTAGTACCTGGACAAGTCTAATGTAAATTAATTTATAGAACTATTTTGAGGGAGAGTAAGAAAATTTGTCAAATATCCATATTAATTTTGTTATCAAAAGTATTTAAGTGCCTCATCTCTCACCATAAAAAGAAACCCCTTTGTCTGAATATATGATTCACTTTATATTTCAGTATTTTAGCATTCTGTATTTAAAAAGGAAAATGGAAAAATGATAATAAAATTTATATGATTATATTCAATTTATATTTTAATCTTTGCTGTTTCATATATGTTTCATTTTATGATTATGCTATGCATTTCAATACTATTTGGAAAGTGTGGAACAGGAATAGAGAAATACTAAGAAGCTATATTCCCCTTTTTAGATAAACTGTATTGTATGCTGAAATATATTCTTCACATTTACATGTTTATCTGCTGTATGATGGCATTTATAAGAATTCCTCTTTATTGTTTACAATTATATATTAAAATAAGATTTTTAATGCTTAGATATTACAGTTGAGATATCAAGGAAATTGTGAGACGTTATTGTCATGACAAGCTGCTGTCAATGGGACTGTTTTCCAGTTGGTCTAGATGGAAGTTTCTCTTTAATTACATATTGTAGCAGTTGAAAGAGTGTCCCTGTGACCAAAATAGTAGCACACAGTTGGAGAGACTGCTTAAACAGTGTTCACAAGGCTCTTGTGGGCACAAGGCTGCTCACTGCTACGGAAAACCTGTTTCTCATATCACCCCGTTTACCTTCTAGCAGGGCTTTGAAATGTCGCATGATAACACAGCATCCTAATGGTGTCTCTTGGGAAACATTTATTTTGGTGAGACAGTATCAAGGGCCTTTAGAAATTGAAACAACACAAAAGAAAATAAAAATGAGGGCAGGAGTGTAATCCACCTCTCCGAGCAGTGCTGCCATGTCTCAGATGCATTGATTTAGTTAGTCCCCAACAATGTGTGTGTTTGAGCTTGGCTCTTTTAAAGTTCCCACACTGTTAGGCTGCCTCATTACATAACTTGCTTTATGATTTCCTTGAAACATAGCTAAAGAAAAATGCATTACAATGCAGATTCTTTTCAAACAAATATAAAGTGCTAGAATATTTTAAGTAAAAAGATCTGATTTTAAAAATAGCATATAGTTACACTATTCTTTGCCATTACTCATTACTATCTACTTGGAGTTAACCGATTTTCTTTGCATCTGTGTGCAACTGTATGTATTTTTATTTTCAAAATGTTTCTGCTGAAGATCTTGCTTTTCCCAGAAGTCATTTGTCATCCCTTGTACCATTTTTCATGCCTACCAACATACTAAAAGTTTTTGCATCTTATAATAGGATGATAAAGATGGCACCTCAGCATTTTATAAGATTGATAGTATTATTCAGTACTTAACAAGTATAGCCACACTTAAAAACTTCATTCTATTTTTTTAAAGCAAAATTGAACTTTGATTATTGCTTGCAAGTTTGACTGACAGTTTTATTTTTTTACCTTAGGGTACTTAGTAATTATTTAGGTAATTTTGTTTTTTAAATCTATATGCATATCTTTTTTGTTAGAAAAATTTTTAGCTTTCTAAACAGTCTCAAGTAAAAAAAACATAGTATTATGAACTTTAATCATTTTGATTTATCAAGTATACTTCATCTGTTCTATTTTCCTTTTACTAAAGTGCTTGAAACCAAATCTCAGTCATCAGGCCATTTCATCTCTGTATGTGTTAATATGTTTATCTGAAAATACGGACTTCAAAAAACATAACCTCATGATTGTCATACCTGATAATGATACACTACCAGGCCATATAAAAATTTTACTAATTGTCTTAAAAGTAATTTTTACTGTAGGTTTTTTGTTGTTTTGTTTTTGTTTTTTGAGACAGGTTCTTGCTATGTAGTTCAAACTTGCTTTGAACTCACTGTGTAGTCCACACTAGTCTCTAAAAGCGATCCTTCTGCCTCAGCCTCCCAGGTGCTGGGATCACAGGTGTGCGCTGCCACATCTGGCTCTGCTGTAGGTTAATTTGAATCATCACATAATGTTTGTTTGTAGGCATTTAGTTCTTATTGGTCAGATTTTAATTCTGATTACTCATGCCTGGTAAGGGTAGAATATTATTGTTTTCTTTATTTTTATTAGCACATATTTTCTGCATATACTGATTGCATTCATTGTGGTAAGTTAATACATGTATATAACACATCTTAATTCTCATCTCCTCCCCTGCCTCCATCTCTTGGTCCCCTTCCCCTTTTGAGAAAGATCTCCCTATTTCCTATTATCTATCTTTTATTTTGGTCTTTAGTTTATTTATACTTTGGACTTTTCATGTAAGAGAAACCATGCAATATTTAAGCTTGTGTGTCTGATTTATTTCACTTAACATATGGTCTTACTGTACATCCCTTTTCCTACAAATGACTCAAATTTATCTTTCTTTACAATATAGTAGTACTCTATTATGTATGACATTTTCTTTATCCATTCATCTGTTGATGGACATATAGTTCACTTCCAAGATTGAGCTGTTATGAGTTGTGCTGCTATAAACATGGGTGTGCATATATCATCATAATATAATATCTTTAGCTATTTTGGGAAGATACATAGAAGTTTAATATTTAATAGCTGGGTCAAATGGAATTTCATTCTTAGTTTTTTGATGAATCTCCATACTGGTTTCTATAGTAGTTGAACTAGTTTGTTTTCTCACCAAAAATAGATATGTCATTTGTTTTTTCCCCCACAGATTTGTTAGCATTGCCAGCATTTGTTAAAATTTGATTTCTTTTCATATCAGGGATTGAACTTTGGTCCTTGCATTTGTGAGGCCGGCAGCAGCACCACGGAGCTAAATCCCTGGCCCTATAGTTTTATTTCTTGATGGTAGGAATTCTTTCTGGAGTAATATGGAATCTCGATGTTGTTTGCATTTTTCTAATTTCCAGAGATGTTGAACTTTTTTCATGTATTTTTTGTCCATTTGTACTTCCGAGAAGTATCTATTCCTTTCAGTGGCCCATTTTTTCATTTGGTCTTTTATTTGGAGGGAGCTAATTTTTTTGAATTTTTTAATATATTCTAGATATTAGTCTCTCCTAGAACAGGTGGCAAAAGCTTATTCTCATTTTGTAGTTGTTTCTTCATTCTGCTGATTGTTTCCTCTGTGCAGAAGTTTTTTTGGTACTGGGGATTAAACTCGGGACCTTGTGCTTGCAAGGCAGGCAGTGGAACCACTGAGCTAAATCCCTGGTCCAAAAGTTTTTTTAATTTGATATAACGCCATTTCTTTTTTTGTTATTGTTGCTTTTAAAAAAATTTATTAGCACATGTATGTCATAAAACATAGGGTGTGTTAATACATGTCTGTAATACAGCTTAATTTCTTTTTTCATCCCTTTTCCCCTCCTTTCTTCCCTCTCTGCCCGTGTTTTAATTCCCTCCCTTTTTTGTATGTTTGCAGTACATAATGTTTACATTCCTTATATGTAGTTGTACATGTGCATGACACATCTTAATTCCTTTTTCATCCCATCTGTCTCTCCTCTCTCAAACTCTTTATCTCCTTCCCCTTTGAGAAAGATCTGTCTCTGCTTCTTAGCATAGATCTTTTATTTTGCTCTTTTATTTTGGGTTTCTCCTATCAGAGAAATCTGTGTCTGATTTACTTCAGTTATTTCGGTTAACATTTTGGTCTCAAAGTGCATTTGTTAGGACTCAAGTTTCTCTTCCTTTATGGTTGAATAGTACTTCCTGTGGGTAAGTACCACTTTTTTTTTTGATAGACAGACATGTGAGCCACTTCCACTTTGAAATCAGGGTATACTAGCTTCTACAAATGAGTTTGGAAGTACTTCTTTCTTTTCAGTTTTATTAAAGAGTTTGAGAAGTATTGGTATTAGATTTTTCCTTAAAGTTTTTGTAGAATTCAGTGGTGAATCCATCAGAACCTTGGGTTTTCTTAGTTGATAGGTTTTTTTTTTTATGACTGCCTCAATTGAATTCCATGCTATTGGATTATTTAGAGTTTTTTGTATCTCTTGGTTCTTTTCTGGTAATTCATATTTATCCATTTTGCATGGATTCTTTAATTTATTGCAATACATATTTTTGAAGAAGTTACTAATCAT